GCACGGATCAATCCACCCATGAACGCATACGACCGACGACAAATCCACCGCCGCCGCCGTCGGTGTCGTCGTCGTCGTCGTCGTCGTCGTCATGCTCGAAGTCGTCGTCGTCGTCGGTGTCGTCGTCGTCGTCATGCTCGTCGTCGTCGTCGTCGTATTGCTCGAAGTCGTCGTCGTCGTCGTCGTCGTCGTCGTCGTCGTCGTCGTCGTCGTCGTCGTCGTCGTCGTCGTCGTCGTCGTCGTCGTCGTCGTCGTCGTCGTCGTCGTCGTCGTCGTCGTCGTCGTCGTCGTCGTCATGCTCGAATTCGTCGTCGTCGTCGTCCTCGTCGTCGTCGTCGTCACCCCTCACGCGTTTCGTGGCACCGTAGGGAGCTCCACCGCACCCTCAAACGCTTCGTGGCCCCATAGGGAGCTCCACCGAAGCCCCCAGGGGGATGGAGCACATGCGTCAAGCACATGTCGGCACAAACCCCTCACAGGCTTCGTGGCCCCGCAGGGAGCTCCACCGCACCTCTCACACGCTTCGTGGCCCCACAGGGAGCTCCACCGAAGCCCCAGGGGGGGGAGCACATGCGTTCCCGAGCCCATTTCGGCACGCACCCCATCAAACGTTTTCGTGGCCCCGCAGGGAGCTCCACCGCACCCCTCACACGCTTCGTGGCCCCACAGGGAGCTCCACCGAAGCCCCCAGGAGGAGGGGGGGGGGAGCACATGCGGTTCCCCAGCCCATTTCGGCACAAACCCCTCGCACGTTTCGCGGCCCCACCGTCCCCCAACCCATGTTGGCACATCCCTCGAACGCTCCATGGACACATAGGGAGCTCCACCGAAGCCTCGAGCGGGTGGGGCGGATGCAGTCTCCGAGACTATTTCGGCGCACCCCTCACGCGCTTCGCTGCCCCGCATGGAGATCTGTGGGAAAAACACACACCAAAAAACACCCACACACACACACACAACACACACACACACACACACAAAAAAAAAACACTTGGAAAACACACACACGCACACATACAAAAAAAACACAAAAAAAGAAAAAACACCGTGTGTTTTTGTGTTTTCCCACAGGTGTGTGTTTGTTGTATGTTTTTGTGTGTTTTTCCCACGGATGCAGTCCCCGAGACTATTTCGGCGCACCCCTCACGCGTCTCGTTGCCCCGCATGGAGATCCCCCTCCTTCGCCCCACCTGCCCTGCGGTACTCACGTCTGCAGATGGTTGGGCCCTTCGCCGGGACAGTCGTTTCACGACGCCCGGATCTGAGGGACGGTGCCTCGCCGACCTTCCGCCTGCTGCGGCCGTGGGAGGACAAGGACCCGGAGCACGGCAGCTCGAGCGACCCGGCGTACTTACCCTATCTTTCCGCGGCATCTCTCGAGCCAGATCGATCGCTCAGTAGGACTAGGTCGGGCATGTCCCCCTACAGGCCAATTTTCGACGAAAAAGGAAAGATACTCAAAAAAAGATTATGCTAACGGAGTTCCCCACATATAGATGTTACGGGGTTAGCGTGATCACGAGGGCATACAAGCAGTATCAAACATGAAAGCCAATCATGTGTAGATATGTTTATGGAAAGGCCGACGAAGGCGAGGAGGGGAAACAGCACGGAAGGATGATTGATGTGTAGGACGCGGTCCACAGAAGTCGAGCTGTGAACTGCCATCGTGCCTCATAAGAGGAAGTCCTTCCCTGGAGGTCGGACGGGCCTCCCGTGAGCCGTCCGCGGAGCTCACATGGCTCAAGATAACCCCCAGGAGGGAAAGGCATTAGAAGCAATATGGTTATCACAGTGCTCAGCATCATCCTCCTGCTCGCTCAGGCGGGGCCTCCCTGGAGGGGTGGGAGGGGCACGAAACCTGATAAATAACATGGTGTGCGAATACCCTGCTCACTCAGGCCGGCCCTCCCTGGAGGGGTGGGAGGGGCACGAAACCTAATAAATAACATGGTGTGCGAATACCCTGCTCGCTCAGGCGGGGCCTCCCTGGAGGGGTGGGAGGGGCACGAAACCTGATAAATAACATGTGTGCAAATACCCTGCTCGCTCAGGCGGGGCCTCCCTGGAGGGGTGGGAGGGGCACGAAACCTGATAAATAACATGGTGTGCGAATACCCTGCTCGCTCAGGCTCAGGCCAGGCTCCCTGGAGGGTGGGAGGCACGAAACCTGATAATAACATGGTGTGGCGAATACCCTGCTCGCTCAGGCCAGGCCTCCCTGGAGGGGTGGGAGGGGCACGAAACCTGATAAATAACATGGTGTGCGAATACCCTGCTCGCTCAGGCGGGGCCTCCCTGGAGGGGTGGGAGGGGCACGAAACCTGATGAATAACATGGTGTGCGAATACCCTGCTCGCTCAGGCGGGGCCTCCCTGGAGGGGTGGGAGGGGCACGAAACCTGATAAATAACATGGTGTGCGAATACCCTGCTCGCTCAGGCGGGGCCTCCCTGGAGGGGTGGGAGGGGCACGAACCTGATAAATAACATGGTGTGCGA